CTGTCTGTATTTTCTTTTTTCGTGGACAACATGTTTACTTCAGGCACAGCAACAACAGCAGCCACAGCGGTCAACCACGCCAAGTGCAACTTGGCTTTCAGGCGGAGTAAGCCTTGTGAACTTGTCTACCGTATTTCCGATTATCAGTCGCACACTTGATTACTGTAATACAGCTAATTTTAGCAACGGTGATATTTAGCGATTTTAGCCAAAGGAGCGCGCCAATAGAACGCGCCAATAGAAAGTTTGCATGTACAGCAGACTACTAGTCATCCTTCTTTCTATACTCTGAAACTCGGATCGCTAAAATATTATTTCATCGCAAACTAGTCCATATTCAAAAAACGCTAAAAAGTTTACGAGCTTAGAAGTTGCGACTGCGGCGGTATTATTGATGAAGTTGGTTGCTCCAACGAGGAACACGCGCGCTTCCTGCCGAACTTGACACTTGACTGACTCGCGACTGCCATCTGCCATCCATCTAACGCGGTACTTAACATTGAGTGAGACATTGTCCATTTGGACAGAGGAAGAGGGTGGAGGAGCGTAGTTGGAGAGCATGGTGGTCTTTGCCGCAGAGAACTCCGCCGTGAATGCCTCTAGCCCAGCGCTGGCAGCTTGTCAAATCCACCTGGAAATTCGCAAGATTCTCACCAACGGGTAGACCCGTATTGTGAGTGTTGAGCAGTGTGACATCATCAGCAAATAGATAAGGATCTTCCACAGTGTCGGAGTCTAGTTCACTTTCTCCTAGACAAGTTCTCTGATCTGAGTTCTTGGTTTTATGGATTTGACACTCCTTACTTTCTTGTAGTGTGTCTTACGTTTCATTCGTTTACCTTGTTCGCGCGATCTTGTCTTTTTTGGTACTACCGTAATGGTAGTGGATAAAATAACTTGTCTTGCTCTTCGTTTATGGCATGCTCGATTTGTTCCCTTCTTCAGATTGCCTTTGAGTCCTTTGTCTGGCGTGAGAGCAGCACTAGCTGCATGTGAAGGAGCATGGCATCGTAGCTGAAGGTCATCTCGTAGCTGTGAAATTGCGTATAAATTCTGAACTGCTCTGCACTTGTGTACAAATAACCCCTCGTTCTAAGAAACTGGCGGCGCTTATTCAAGGGCGGCTGGTAATCAAGGAAATTTGGTACAGATGTTTGTACTGTCCAGCCAATACCCATGCTGATTGACGTATTCCTATGCATACCGGTATGTGTGGGTTGGTGGGGTTATGGGTGTGTGAGTGTGTGTGTGTGTGTATGTGTGTGTGTGTGTGTGTATGTGTGTGTGTGTGTGTGCGTGTGCGTGTGTGCGTGCGTGTGTGCGTGCGTGTGTGTATGTGTGTATACATATGTGTGTATATGTGTACATGTGTATATGTGTGTATTCGGATGGTGTGGATGTGATGGCATTTTAGGTTGGGAATCAGCAGCAACAAGCACAGCAGCTCGGCCAGGGCCCTCAACAGTCACAGTCTTTACAGGCTTCCCCGGCACAACAGCAGCAACAACAGCAACAACAACAACAACAACAACAACAACAACAACAACAACAACAACAGCAACAACAGCAACAACAACAGCAGCAGCAGCAGCACACTGCTCAGGAACTAAGTGCTCTCCAGCGTCAGATCCTGAACAACCCTGAAGCCCTGCGTCGATTGCAGCAGCGCAAGCAACAGCAACAACAACAACAACAACAACAACAACAACAACAACAACAACAACAACAGCAGCAGCAACAGCAACAACAAAGGCTTCAGCAACAGCAGGTCCAGCAGCAGCAACAGCAGGTCCAGCAGCAGCAGCAACAGCACGTTCAGCAGCAGCAACCACAGCAGCAGCCGCAGCAACACGTCCCGGGCACGGTGCAGTTGCCTGGGCAAACCCGGTTACCCGGCCTGAGTGAAGCTGATGACCTGGCAGCATTGAGCAAGTTTGAGGAGAGCACTTTGTTTAGCTCCTTTATGAGCTGAGCCTTCTTGCGTATTCCTACCAATCATCGTACATGTTCAAGCATATTCCGACCAGTCATCCTTCAGTGTCAGCATGTCTCAACCTATGCTGGTAACTCCTCGGCTTTCCGGCTTTTTAATCTCTTTTTTTTTGTCTGGGTTTTGTTTGGTTTTGTTTCGCACTGCTTTTCTGTGTAGAAGCAATGCTGCTGTCTGCGTTTGTACTTCTAGTTCAAGGAGATATTTTTCGTCCGGCATACATCAATACTCCGTTTTTCTCAGGTCCAAGCTTTTAGAGAGGTACACGTCTGGTGTAGATGTGTTCAGCTATAGTTGGTATCAAGTCAAGAATGCACAATGCCGTGCACTCTTGTTGTTTTATCGTGTTTTGCATGCACTGCGAGTGGTGGTCATTTCTCCTGCACCATTGCCCGACAAACAGACCACGAAATGATGTTGTACCACAAGTCATACTATTCTGTCCTATCCACATTCTATATTTGATTTTACCATGGTTACTCGGGCTCTCTCGTTACTTCACATTCATGTTCAATGGTGCACAGTCTCCTCTCGTTGTTTTCATATCATTCTTACTCTTCCTTTTTTCTTTGTTTTTCTGTTGTGTTGTGCCCATGTGCACACACAAACACACGCACGTGAGCTGGTGCACGTCCTCCCTGGTGACTTGTACTTGCTGCTCAGACAAACATCCCAGTTCATCTGCCTACTCCGCCACATCTCTTTATTGGTTCTATACTCTCTCGGTCATCCGGTAATCAATCTTAGTTCATACCACAATCCCAATGGGTTTTTTGCATTTTCTTTAAATATCTTGGGACCGTTTTGGAAATAAGACGTAAGCTCCCTGTAGTAAACAGAAGCAGCTCAAGCGTCATCTCACGAAGGTTTTATTGAGATGTCACGAACAAATTGTGCGAAAGCTAGTTCGATGCATTTTTATATTTTTCATCGTTTCCTATTATTGTTCTTCACATTACATTTCCATCATAGTTATTTCTTTGTCCATCACCACGTTCTCTAGAGTTTGTTCGTGACATCTCAATAAAACCTTCGTGAAATGACGCTTCAGCTCAAGCTACCTGTAGTTCTTTTTTCTCTTTTTTTTGTGGTGATATAATTCTCTAGCCTATTACTAGTACTAGTACCAAGAGTCCATAAACAAATGCGCTCTTGCTAGTACTACTGTAGTATTCTCCTTCGTCTTTATTCATCCTTCTGAAGCAATATTAACATGTACTGGTACATGGTATACTGTGTTTACTATTTTTTTTTAAAAAGTTTTCTCTCCTGCTCTCTATGATCGCGATCCAGAGCCCATAATCGTTAAAACATGGTTATGGATTCTTCCCCGCTGTGATCCATCTCGCATTTCAAGCTGGCTCTTATCATCAGGTGTAAGAAATACATACATGTGTGCTTCTTTGCTCAATCCTGTGCTTTGTTTGTCTTAAAAAGTAACATTCTGCCAACCAATCAACATGTTTTCAGCCAAACAAGGCTAATACCTAATACCAAGAGTCCATAACCCCAGGGGCTATGGACTGTAGTCTTGGTATTAGGGTTGGTTCACATACCTTTGTTTGTCTTGTACGGGGAAGCCACCGGAAGCTACAAAGCTTTGGCTGTTTTGTTTGTCTCATACTGGGGGAGCTGCCAAAAGCTGTGTTTTGTTTGTCTCTTTAAATACTTGTACAAGTTTCGGTGCCGCCGGGAGAGCTGTCGGAAAATCTGTGTTCTGTTTGTCTCATGCGGGGAGCTGCCGAAACTGTCTTTCGTTTGTCTCGTACGGCCCGGTATTGCGCGCGGAATTTGTTTTGTCTGTCTTGCACGGGGGAGCTGCCGCATGCCGGAACCAGAAGCGGTTGGTTTTTTGTTTGTTTGTCTTGCACGGGGGAGCTGCCAGAAGCTTGCAATTGGGTGTCTTAAAAAATACCCTAAAATTGTTGTGGCATACAGCTCCCTGCTGTCTTTGTCAGCAGCAACTTGATTGTCAGTTTGTGCTGACATGGCTGCACTGTACAATAGTCAATACGTTTACTTGTAATATTAGTTGTAGTTTTTTTTTTTTTTTTTTTTTTAAACTTCCAAGCCTCTTGTACGGGCAAAATAAACACAAGTGCAAGGTCAACAGCTTAGTACCGAGAGAAAATGAGCTGAAATGGCTGTGAAAACAGTCTTGTACGGAGGAAGCTACAATGGCTGTGAAAACAGTCCAATAAGGAGGGAGCTAAAATGGCTGTGAAGACAGTCTAATGCGTAGCAAGGCGAGCCTCAGCCTGGACGAGGTCAACAGGCACAAGGTTGATGTGACGGCGGCGAACGGAGCGTGATCCTCGAACGAATATCATGAATATTATTAGTTGTAGTTGTACAATCATGCAAGGGTAATGGACTCTTGATGTAACCAAGAGTACATAACCGTACTCTTGATTGGAAAGGCTTCCTGTCTGAAGCCTTTCCATACTGGTACTCGATGTTCCAGTTTTGTGACACGAGAATGGCACGAGAATTAGTGTACCGCTGAGTGTACCGCTATACACGTGGTCGACACGTAGTCGACACGTTGTTGATACTTTTTTGACACGTGACCCCGTCAACGGTCTGCTTTGTGCCAATAGGCCACTCGGTAAACGCCGATGTCGCGTACGACAAAGACGACTATCCCGTACGCGAAATAGTTGAGAATTGCATGACGTGGACCTGACGGCAAGGACAACTGCGAGGAGGCCCCTTTCGGTACCCCTGACGGGAAGGAGAACTGCAGAAGTCGACGAAGTCGAACGAGGAGGTCCCTTTTCCGTACCCCATACTGCAAAGTGCCATTGATGGATACCTTTTGCACCTGGAACGACCCCTTAAACGCTGTCGCGGCGACTATCCCGTACGCGAAATAGTTGAGAACTGCTGACGTGGACCTTTTGCACCTGGAACGGCCCCGTAAACGCTGTCGTGTCGGCGGAGTGAATGTGCAGGGTACTAGGGTGAAAAGAATTGCTGCAAAGACGTCCCCTCTACTAGGCTCTAGGCCTTTGCCTTTGGAGACATCGTCGGCGAACTGAATGCGCAGGGCGAAAAGAATTGCTGCAAAGACGTCCGCTCTAGGCCTTTGGAGACATCGTGGGAACTCCTTCCGGTACTATACAAACTGCTGACGTGGCCGTGGACATGTACATGGAGAGTCATGGTGGGACTTCATGTACATGGATACATGGTGGGAATTCCTTCCGGCACCCCCGTACCGCAAAGCCAACGGTGGGGAAGGAGAAGTGCAGACGTGCAGGAAGACGAACGAGGAGGAACCAGGACGAGCGAGCAATGGCAGGACTAGCTGGACCGTAAGTAATAGCTGAATTGTGCATGACAACTTGACATCCATGCGGCACTCGCCACTTGCCACTGCATATTTCTTGTCCACTAACAATGTCTCTCTTCTGCCCCCTGTGTGTCCACGGCCCTGTTGCTGAATTGGCCCGATGAATCGAATGTCTTCCGCAGCTGGAACGGCCCCGTGAACGCTGTCGCGTCGGCGACTGAATGCGCAGGAGGGAAAATATTGCTGCGAAGACGTCTCCTCTAGACGACGGTAAGGCACCCCATTGATGTGTGCCAGGGTATCGCGCGATGGTGAATGAGGAATGATGAAGGGTACGGTGGGACTGTAGACCTGTATTACGTTACCTTCTACTAACACGTTATCAGGTGGAGAGTGTCTTGTAGTCACTCTCTCTATTCCTGTATACTTCATTACGTTTAAGGTGTACGTATAACTTCTCAAAAAAATTTAATGGTCTACAGTCGTGTCGGAAGGGTACGGTGGGACTGTAGACATGTTACCTTCTAACACGTTATCAGGTGGAGAGTGTCTTGTACTCACGTTATCACTATATCAGGTCGAGAGCGTATTGTAGTCACTCTCTCTATTCCTGTACTTCTTTACGTTTCAGGTGTACGTATAACTTTTCCAAAAAAATTAATGGTTCACGTCTTCAGATAGAGAGCGTATTGCACCGTCTAGTCTCTGTAGTGCATTGAGATTTTGTTGATCGAACATGAAATGGATACACAGACAAAGCCAGGCCAAGTACATGGCGAGATGTCGCCAGAAGAACGTCTTCAGGTAGAGAGCGTATTGCACCCACTGTCTAGTCGATTTTGTGGATCGCACATGAAATGGATACACAGACAAAGCAGGCCAAGTACATGAGAGAGTGGACGATGTGCAGATCGACACGGCCTGCGGGTACTTCATTAAAGTTACCCGTGACATAACTAGGATAAAAGTTAATCACTGCAAAAACATTGCCAAGTATGTGAGCACTTTGGACTTGACAGAAGAGTGCACGGGCGACGTTGACAAAACATACGGCGGTGACTGTCACTATCATGACAGCAGGGCACATCGCACGCAGCATCGCAGATCGTGTCGAATTGCGTATCATAATATTGCAAAATTGCTCCTGTGCATGCAAGTGGATTTCATTGCACTTCTCAGTTTGGGAAATGCTCGATTATGACAATTCTGCGTGTGAGTGCACTAGCCCTGAACAGACATGTAGGTGAACCGTTTGTGGTGTCTCATAGCCTACCTCACGACCTTCTGCTTTCTTTCTTCATCACTTGTATCTTGCAGGTATATCATCCCGTGACGACCACATTGAAGTCTGAATTTGAAGTGTGAAGATGCTTCAGCAACCACATCGTACTTTTCCATTGCTTTCATTGTGCTTCTACTGTGCATGTGTGTAACTTGTGGGGTAAACATGTGATGACATTGTATGCTGGCGACACGGTCAGATGTTCATGCGTCTAACGTACACCTGCATGTTATGCATTGAAAAGGGTTTGCCACTTGCGATCCTGGGACGAGTATCAGGTCCGCTTCGTCCTGTGTGGGCTGTATCAGATTGCTGTTCACTTCTCTATCTGTTGGATATGTGACTTTCTGCAAGTTTCTGGTGTATGATGGCCACGTCCTTGCTTGTCACTTTGTATGATATTACATTCTGTATTCGCTGCTTCCATGGCATGGTCTGCAAACTACAATCCTTGGGCAAATGTCATGTTTGCTATGTTGTGCTTTGGCCGTCAGCTTGTCTACACGCTGTAGTTGAATTATTTTTGTTTCACAACTGACTTCCTCAAGTACGGTGGCCACTGCTTTGCATGGCATTATACATGAAGAATTTCCTGTTTGTGTCGTGTGCATGTGCGTATGTGTGCGTGGCCACGTGTGTGTGCCGTGTGCATACACATGTTTGTGTAGTTGGGGTGGGGAGGGAACGGAAAAAGAGCTGAAATTATCCATATAAAAATCGCTCTGTGAGCGGTTCTGAAAAACCTTTACTGGTACTGCCCCGTCGTAAAAGTAAGAAATTAGAACTGGCCCATTGTCCCCCCAAATGCGAACTGATCCACCTAAATCGCGAATGACGGGACCCGAACGCACCAGTAGCACGAGGTTCCTACCTGTGGATGCAGATGGGGACGTTGGTCCGGACCATAGGCCATGTACTGTACTAGCGGAAGGCTTCCCTATCAAAATAATAAATTCTACTGCTACTACTGGTGTTACCCTATGATAATTGCCGTGATCCTGTGCCCTCCCGACCTCGTGCTACTGGTGCGTTCGGGTCCCGTCATTCGCGATTTAGGTGGATCAGTTCGCATTTGGGGGGACAATGGGCCAGTTCTAATTTCTTACTTTTACGACGGGGCAGTACCAGTAAAGGTTTTTCAGAACCGCTCACAGAGCGATTTTTATATGGATAATGCATGTACTCTTGCCTTGTCTTGGTCTGGCTGACAGCAGGGAGTCGTAAAATACCGGTATTTTACGACTCCCTGTTAACATGTTCCCATGGCGATGGATTTCGAGGCTTTCACAATAAAATTAATTTCGTTCAACGTTTGTGTAGCATGTTCTACGTCACTCCTCACGCACGCTGCGCGCCGCGCCGCGCCGCGTCGCAGCAGAATCGACACGTAGAAGCGCACGCATCCATTATCCAGTCAGCTCACAGATTCTACGAAATCAGTGAATCACTCACACAGTTTTCAAAGTCTGTACCAGCTTGTTACAGAACTGGTGAAGCTGAAGTGAAAGAACAAAGAATCAAAAGTACACAGAGATTATTGTTCTACTGAAGAAGAGTTTGGTTTGTAGATAATTCAGTTTCCTAGTGAGCGATAGGTTATAAACGGACGAGATGGTGAGCTTGTGCAACACTGTGGATACCTCCCACCAGGACATGATCGTAAGTTTAGCGAAAATACCTATTTTCCTTCATTATTCTGCAATAGGTTTTGAATAACATCAATATTATTTGTACGTGCTTATTCGTGACTGCACAGCACGATGCTCAGCTGGATTATTATGGAAAGAAATTGGCAACGTGCTCGTCTGATCGCAGCGTCAAGATTCTGGACGTTAGTGGTGGTAACCAGCGTGTGATAGCAGACTTGACTGGGTATGTCTGGCTGAGCTGAGCTGCGATGTGAACTGCTAGTCCTGTGATGCTTCCAAGCCTGGTACCCCTCGCATCTTAAAGGGGAAGTTAAGGCAAAAATCAAAATTTCACCAGTTGTAGTCTTCGGGGTGCTGAGTCGAATGGTCTTGGTCCGAGAAAGCTGAGACGCTCCCTTCCTACTTGAATCCCAATCGAACTCGCGCACTTCCACCGAAACTGGGTGACTGCGCCCTACTAGATGGGGATTTGTATGCAAAATGTCACTAAAAGCGCCATTTCGTTCTTATAAAAGCACGGATGACCGCGATTGGCCCATATGTTGTAGTCTTTTGGACGCTGAGTCGACTGGTTTTGGTCCGAAAAGGCTGCGATGCAGCGTTCCTCCTTTATTCCCAATCGAACATGGTTGAAGAAGCGGTCACGTGCTCCTGGGTGCCAAAATCACCTGGTCACCACGCCAGCAGGCGACAACTTTCACACCAAGGTTCAACTCGAGTTCAACTCGAGTGACAGGACTGCACCCAAAAAAGGTCAAAACAGGCTGTAAGTTGTACCCTACAGGCACGGTGACCAGCTGACTGGTGTACGCAGGAGCACGTGACCGCTTGTTCAACCATGTTCGATTGGGAATTAGGGGCGAACGCTGCATCGCAGCCTTTTCGGACCAAAACCAGTCGACTCAGCGTCCAAAAGACTACAACATATGGGCCAATCGCGGTCATCCGTGCTTTTATAAGAACGAAATGGCGCTTTTAGTGACATTTTGCATACAAATCCCCATCTAGTAGGGCGCAGTCACCCAGTTTCGGTGGAAGTGCGCGAGTTCGATTGGGATTCAAGTAGGAAGGGAGCGTCTCAGCTTTCTCGGACCAAGACCATTCGACTCAGCACCCCGAAGACTACAACTGGTGAAATTTTAATTTTTGCCTTAACTTCCCCTTTAATAGTTAGCCACGGAATATAATAGGATTGGTCGTATCTCGAGCACCCTTTATAACAGTCCTGTATCTGAGCAAAGTGTTTCTTCAACCTGAACTTGCCGGGAAAGAACACAAGAGGGCGACAAGGGAACAGTAGTCTTATCAGGTACAAGTGCTGTTTAGAAAGTTTTTTTTAAAGCTAGCAGCGCAATGGGTAAGGGAATATGCCAGGTGCCGACTATCCCGGGTCTTCTATTCGAGTGTTTTGGGCGCTGTCCGGTATTTGCGGAAACGAGTTCTAACTGTGTAACCTCCATCACGGTGGGTCACAAGTGCCACTATTGCCCCTACAGCGCATGTCAGTTATCTGAACACCTTGAGGGCCACCCTCTATTTAGATATGTGACTAATTCGGGGAATCAGAGCTTTGTGTTCTATCAGTGCACTATCCAATGTGCACCTAAAAGGTTTTCACACTTACGTGTATGCTGGCACCATTTTTTTTACTACCGTGGAATGTCAGGTGCATGTATATGTACCTGTCGTAATACCCAGCTCAGTGTCGTTTGAATGGTCTGTAGCAATGCTGTGCTGATCTTGTAGCAATGCTGTGCTGATCTTGTCACTGTAGCCATCAAGGTCCAGTCTGGCAAGTGGCATGGGCACATCCGTCCTTTGGCAACGTGCTCGCTTCTTGTTCATATGACCATAAGGTACGAATGATGGCCTAGTTGCTGCTTGCTATGTCTGATGCTGCTGCTGTTACTGGTATGCACTCTTGATATCATGTCGAAGTATGCGCCAGTTGATTACGGCCGTCGTTGTACTGTGCACGAAGAAAACTAACCCCTCTCCCCTCCCCCTATTTGTGGTGCTGAAGTTTCTATCTGTCTGTCCATCTCTTTGTGTGTTTGGTGTATGTACATGGCGCAGGTGATAATATGGCAAGAAGGACCTAATTCTAGATGGCAGAAGCTCTATGAATATGACAAGCATGTTTCCTCAGGTAAACACTCTAGTAAAAGTATGCTTGTGCAGAGCATGTGCATTACACAGCCAATTTATAATAGTGCGGGTGCTCGCTAGGAGGCCTTCCTTGGACACTTAGTTGTACATGTAACACCAGCACCCATTTACGTTGTATGGCTGCTGCTTCTGCTTTTGCTTTTGCTATTGCTCTCTGCGTGTAAAGTTATCTCAGTTTTTGTCTGGATATGCCCTGTTTGCCTTCTGGGAATATGTTCGTAATTCAATGATATCTTGGTTTGTACGTGTGCAGTAAATTCAGTTTGTTGGGCACCACATGAATGGGGAATGGTACTAGCATGCGGCTCATCAGATGGCAATATCTCGATCCTAACATATGCCGGTAAGTGTCATAAACCCTGCATACGATTTTCACCCGTGTGTGCGTGCATGTGTGTGCGCGCGTGTGTGTGTGCGCGCGCGCGTGCGTACGTGCTTGTGTGTGTGTGTGTGTGTGTGTCTGTGAAAAGTCACTTCAAACAGCTGTGTGGTGGATACCAGGCTAAAAATAGTGGCGGTCAATTCATCAGCCTTCCAAGCTGTTGAATGGTGTAATCCCAGCACAAGTTGCTATGTCTAACATAGCTGTTCGCTATCATCGCTTCCGCGATGGGCATGTCTGAGGTCTGAGGTGTGTCTGTGTGTGACTGTGTGTGGTATGGCATGGCGTCTCTCTCAATCTCCTTCCTCCCTATCTCCTCCCTGTATCTGTGTATGCCGGCTTAAGCGTTCAGTTCATATCTGGAATAAGTACATTGTAGCATTTTTGTGTGTCACTGGGAATGCACCGTGTTACACACAATATCCAGTTCAGCCTTTTGTCCTTGGGCTTAGTTTGTTCAACAGCTGTTACTCTACACTAGCCTATGTAAACATAGGGCACCGTGTACCAATACTCTGCAGTACTGCAAGAGCATAATGTTATGAATTGTGTAGAGAGTACCGTAGAAGTCCGTAAATAAGTACCTGCCCGAAAGAAATACCCCCTTCATTCTTTTGGCTCTGTCTGGTGAAGTCAAGTCAAGCCCGATAAACATACTGCCCGAAATAAGTACCGGTACGGTGTGCAGCACGTAGCATGTACATCGACATGAAAATGACTTCTCCACTACACACAAGTCAGGTCCGAAAGTTAGTTCGTGCCCGAAAGTCAGTACCCGCCCGAAAGTTAGTACGGGTGTGGTCACTAAATTCAAAAGTAAATACGTACTTATTTACGGACTTTTACGGTAATCTGAGAACTTCACCGTGGGCAGCTGAGCTGATTTTTGAATATTTCCCTATACTTTTTTTTAAGAAATTAGAGGCCACATGCCACGTACTGCTCTTTTCTCTCCCAAACTCAACACTTTCTTGTTCGAGTCCCGGTGGTGTGACTGATGATTTTTTCTTTCTTTCATATCTGGCTTGCAAGTGTTGAGTTTGGGAGAGAAAAGAGCAGTACGTGGCATGTGGCCTCTAATTTCTTAAAAAAACTTTGAAATTCTCCGTGAAGTCCAAATTTGAAATTGCAATTTCCCTTTACTGTATTAAAAAAAAGCGCATTGGATGTGATGTGTGATCATAGATGTGTTGATGGTGTTTCCTCCTCTGTTGTTCTGTGTTTCCTTGGCCCATGCAGATAATGAATGGGATACTTATCTGATCAAGAATGCACATGCAGTAAGTGTTGTGCCTGTTGCATGTGTGTGTGTGTGTAGGGGGGGGGGGGGGGGGGTGTATCGGTACCCTTGCTATTCTATGTGATACGTCACCATTGGTGTCGACCCCGGTGGTGTAATGGTAACTTCTGCTTAGCACTGGGGTGTTGCAAGTGGTGCTGTTTTCGTATAGTGCTGTACATTTCGCTTGTAGTGAGACATTGTGCACATGGGTGATAATGTGCACATGGGTGATGATGTGCACATGGGTGATGATGTGCATATGGGTGATGATGTGCACATGCGCACACGTACATGCGCGCACACACACACACACACACACACACACACACACACACACACACTTACTTACTTACTTACTTGTTGCTCACTGCAAAAACTGGTCACGTGGGTCTCCCCGGGAGAGGGGAGAGAGACTCAAAAGGAATCTTGGAAAGATGACTCAATTGGCTATTGAACCGCCCAACGGCCGACACCCCCTGAAATCCCCAAAACTCTGGGTGGACTTGAAAATGATCCCACTTATGGGCTCACCACACCTCAGTAAGTGGGTGAGGACAAGGTGCAGAAAAAGGATTGACGGCATCAGGGTATCCGTCCCGGGATCCAACTGCAGTTACCCCTGCCCCCAGTGAAGGTAATACTTGCCACTAGTGTGGGTGGCTAAATCAGAGTGGATCTGATACAAGCTTTACTAGCACCATGATTACACAAGAGTTAATCTAGCCAGAAGTAGTCCATGGTTAACAGGTATGTACACTTCAAATAGAAAGTATATGAACCCTGAAACCAACAAAGGTGGTAGGTACAACATTACACCTTCAAGCAGCCGAGCCCGTTGGCAACAGACCCAACACTATCCGGCATAAGTGTACCCACCAACCGAACTAGCTGGCACACACACACACACTCTCTCTCTCTCTCTCTCTCTCTCTCTCCTCCCTCTCTCTCTCTCTCTCTCTCTCTCTCTCTCTCTCTCTCTCTCTCTCTCTCTCTCTCTCTCTCTCTCTCTCTCTCTCTCTCTCTCTCTCTCTCTCTCTCTCTCTCTCTCTCTCTCTCTCTCTCTCTCTCTCTCTCTCTCTCTCTCTCTCTCTCTCTCTCTCTCTCTCTCTCTCTCTCTCTCTCTCTCTCTCTCTCTCTCTCTCTCTCTCTCTCTCTCTCTCTCTCTCTCTCTCTCTCTCTCTCTCTCTCTCTCTCTCTCTCTCTCTCTCTCTCTCTCTCTCTCTCTCTCTCTCTCTCTCTCTCTCTCTCTCTCTGAATGATTTTCTCTCGCAAGGTGTGAAATCTTTTCTGCAGGTTGTACTTGTGACACATCTGCTGCTATTCTTGTTGCTATTCTTGTTGCTATGCTTCACAGGTTGGTTGCAATGCTGTCAGTTGGGCACCAGCCACAGCACCATTGACAGTGGTAAGTAGTACGTGTAGATTATCTCTTGAGTATACATGACTTAGCGCAGTGTGCCCTTCATGCTTACATGTTCTGAAGTACAGTGGTGTGGTTTCATCAACAGCTGGTGTGTGTTTATCCGCGCGCGTGGTCATTTCAGACATAGGTTTTCACCCAGAACCTGTTACTTCTCGCTTGCATCCACACCTTAAGTTTTCACCATACGTTTCCTGCCTGTTCTCCCTTATAATATCCTTGGACACTTGTTTTGCAGCCGTTTGGCTGACGTGCTGTTTGGATACTGGTACATATGGTTTGGCTGTACACTGTGGTACTGCTAGTTTCTGGCCCGCTCCACGTCTTCTGAAATAGTTGCTCAGTGCCGAGCACCAATTGACCCGTTGCTACTGGTTGCAAATTTAGAGAAAAAATGTATTTCTGTTGCTTGTGGCTTCCTTGGTTTTCAGGCTGGTCAGAGCGCCTCTCCGTCTGTCAAGCGACTAGTGTCTGGCGGGTGTGACAACCTGGTGAAGATCTGGTGGTGAGTAGTTGTAGTCTTGTTGTGTGTACATGTAGTCTTCATGTTCTCGTATCAAGAGTACTAATGCATTCTCCCATGGGCATGCAGCTCTCCCATGGACATGCAGCTCTCTCATGGACATGCAGCTCTCCCATGGACATGCAGCTCTCCCATGGACATGCAGCTCTCTCATGGACATGCAGCTCTCTCATGTTCTGCTCTACCAACAGGCGAGCGCCACGTGAAACGTTTTGCCGGGCCTTGCGCGCTATCCCGTACCGTGCCGTCAAAGAGAGCTGGCTGCCAGCGTTCGTCCACATAGTCAAATAGGGCTTTCGACGGCAGGGTCACAACGTGAGGCAACTTGGTAGAAGGTGCATGACTGTATGCGATGTGTGTCGTAGCCTGTAGGCAGGGCATTAATGTGAGTTCGAATCCCATGCTATGTGTGGACCTAAAGCTAGGACCACAGCCTGAAGGAACTTGGTACAATATGCACGTCTGCGATGTGGAAGAATACAGTTAGGATCATAGCGCGGAACATCAACAAAGGAAAAGAAGAAAACGAGAGGGCTTGAAAGTTGAAAGCCCAGGAGCCTTCGCTATGCTTTGTTTTACCTACGATTATCGGGCACATGTTTTTTTGTACAGACGTTTCTATCAGTTTGAATAACACACATGACGACCTAGGTAAAAACATTGCACAGCGAGGGCTTCTGGGCTTTCAAGCCCTTTCGTTCCTAACTTTTTAGTTACCGGTAAAAAACAAACTTTAGCTCCTGAACACAATCATGTTGATAGATACGCAATCTGCTGACAGAACTGTTTCGTCCTTTGTGGACTCATCAGCGCAGCACAGAGGAAATGAGGCCGAACCTTGATAATGATAGCAATGAGAAATAAATTGTCCAAAGCCAGATTTAAACCAGGCCCGAACGTACCTTGCCAGAGTGCTCAAACTGACAAGTCAGTGAGCTCTGCATAACGCAAACAGCAAAGGCACTACCCCACACAAGAGTGGTCAACTGCTACAAGAGCAGAACGTACCTTGCCAGAGTGCTCAAACTGACAAGTCAGTGAGCTCTGCATAACGCAAACAGCAAAGGCACTACCCCACACAAGAGTGCTCAACTGCTACAAGAGCATATGTTGATAGATACATACATGTAACTCTAAACTCCCAGATAGGTAAATTCTACCAGGTAGTTATAATTATTATATTGCGCTCTGGTGCTAGCTTATTAATTTTGCATTTTTTGGAATTTTTTCAACACATAACATGGGGTTCGAATCCGCACTATCGCCCTGCGTGCATTCCCTCGATACACTTCCTATTCATACACATTCTACCAAATCAGAAATTGCTTCACCTTATGATCCTACAGTTGAAAGCCCTCTTTGAATATGTGGCCAGCTAGCCGTCTTTGATGGTACGGTACGGGACATGTACAGGATAGCGAGATAGTGAAAAAGAAGAAAAAAACTAGGACCATAGCGTGAAATAGCTACTTGGTAGAATGTACATGAGTTACATGTGAGTTACATAATTATATATAATATGTGTGGTAGAACAATCTTTACTTATAAAAAAGAGGCACCTGTGACGTGTGTCTGTGTGTGTGTGTGTGTGTCACGCTCCTTATAAAGAAGAGGCACCTGTGACGTGTGTTTTTGTGTCACGCTGAAGCGCTGCAGAGCAGCGCTGCCCTGAGCACGCGAAGCGTGCGAACAGTGTAGCACAGTGTAGCTAGCGGCCGCAGAAGCACTGAGCACGCGAAGCGTGCGAATCGTGTAGCTAGCGGAAGCAGCCACAGAAGCACTGAGCACGCGAAGCGTGCGAATCGTGTAGCCACCACCACGTGCTGAGCACGCGAAGCGTGCGAACAGTGTAGGTAGGTGGTAGCAGACACGATCAGTACGAGTAGCAGTAGCAGCCTAGCCGCGCGCAGAAGCACTGAGCACGCGAAGCGTGCGAATCATGTAGCCACCTAGCCTAGGCCATACTGCCATAGGTAGCACTAGCAGCCGCACAAGCGCTGCGGACCACGTGAACCGTTCTCTGCAAATATAAACATCTGCAACAAAAGGATACAAAAGATCTGCACTGACTGCACTCTGCATCTGATCTGCAGTGAAGAGCGCATCGCACTTTTTTTCGTAAGTTTATGAATTTTTTGAGCCGCTTCATCCGCCACCAGGTGATGGACAACCCTGACCAGCCTCCCGAAGGCGTAACAGACGTCCCTCCTTCTCCTTCCAACGATGAAGAACCTCCCTCACCAGGACTTCAGCGGTCTGGCCACCACCACGTGCTGAGCACGTGTGCTGTTCATGTACTTGCTTCACCCGCATGCCACATTCGGCCAGGCAACGCTGGCCGGTGGTGCTGCTAGTTTTTTAATAAGAACTAAAAACCTACCAAGCTCAGGGCCCTCACTATGCTTCGGTTTTACCTAGGTTATCATGTGTTATTCAAACCGCTAGAAATGTCTTTGCAATACGATTATCGGGCACATGGTCTTGTTGTGCATGGACAACTTGGGACCGTCAGATTGATTTATCTGAACTGAGCCAGCCGGGAAAAAACCCTCGCGCCGACGGACGCTGGAATGAGGGGAAAAAACGGGTGTATAACTATAACCCCAAGTGGCAAGATGGAAGTAAGGCCAAGCATAGTTGGTTCAGATTGATACAAGTCCAAGCTGCAATGGCTGTTTCTCGCAGGTCCTTGATTCATACACCTGTAGAGTTAGCACATGCCGTTAACCTACATAGCAGTGCACTCTGTCTCCTGGGCGTTAACCTACATAGCAGTGCACTCTGTCTCCTGGGCGTTAACCTACATAGCAGTGCACTCTGTCTCCTGGGCATTAACCTACATAGCAGTGCACTCTGTCTCCTGGGCGTTAACCTACATAGCAGTGCACTCTGTCTCCTGGGCGTTAACCTACATAGCAGTGCACTCTGTCTCCTGGGCGTTAACCTACATAGCAGTGCACTCTGTCTCCTGGGCGTTAACCTACATAGCAGTGCACTCTGTCTCCTGGGCGTTAACCTACATAGCAGTGCACTCTGTCTCCTGGGCGTTAACCTACATAGCAGTGCACTCTGTCTCCTGGGCGTTAACCTACATAGCAGTGCACTCTGTCTCCTGGGCGTTAACCTACATAGCAGTGCACTCTGTCTCCTGGGCATTAACCTACATAGCAGTGCACTCTGTCTCCTGGGCGTTAACCTACATAGCAGTGCACTCTGTCTCCTGGGCGTTAACCTACATAGCAGTGCACTCTGTCTCCTGGGCGTTAACCTACATAGCAGTGCACTCTGTCTCCTGGGCGTTAACCTACATAGCAGTGCACTCTGTCTCCTGGGCGTTAACCTACATAGCAGTGCACTCTGTCTCCTGGGCATTAACCTACATAGCAGTGCACTCTGTCTCCTGGGCATTAACCTACATAGCAGTGCACTCTGTCTCCTGGGCGTTAACCTACATAGCCGTGCACTCTGTCTCCTGGGCGTTAACCTACATAGCAGTGCACTCTGTCTCCTGGGCGTTAACCTACATAGCAGTGCACTCTGTCTCCTGGGCGTTAACCTACATAGCAGTGCACTCTGTCTCCTGGGCGTTAACCTACATAGCAGTGCACTCTGTCTCCTGGGCGTTAACCTACATAGCAGTGCACTCTGTCTCCTGGGCGTTAACCTACATAGCCGTGCACTCTGTCTCCTGGGCGTTAACCTACATAGCAGTGCACTCTGTCTCCTGGGCGTAAACTTTCTATAATAATGTCTGAGGAGCTTACTGAGAGCATCAACCAGTGAAGCAAATGATTCCCTCCTTTGACAGATCGGTGATAGTTGATTCCTGCAAGTTGGAGTGCTTGCAAGAAGCCTCCAAGTTGTCTCAGTATTCTACGGAATGTCCACAGTTCGGTTGTCCTCCTGTGCAGACTGCAGCACAGGTTCCAACCTTTCGTACATCAGGTACTCTGTGAGGGCAAGATCACGTACGCTGCTGTTGGACAAATTGCCAACTATCTTGTGAAAAGTGATTCAAATCCGGTCTCTGAACGTGGCCAAGCTAATTTCCATCATTTCTTCCTCATCCACTTGTGGAGAGTCAGCGGACGCTTGTCCATTGTTCGGTGAAACCGGTAGAACATCTCAGCACTGACTAGGTTGCCTATCATCATTCTGAGGGTCTTCAAGCGAAATCAAAGACGTGGTGATTGGAAAAGGTAATGCGACCTGCACGGGACTCCGAACTGCAATGACTTTGGGCACGAACCATGTGACTAGCTTCGCGAAGCCTGGCACACTATCCTGTACCACCCAAGAGAGCTAGCAGGCAGCGTTCACCCACTTATTCATTCTCTCGATGTTTGTTGCTGGTGCTGTTGTTGTTTAGTGCGGAGAGTGGTCAATGGACGGAAGAACACAGCCTACCACAGCACACTGACTGGATCCGCGACTGTGCCTGGGCCCCCACTATTGGACAACCATCTCTAACCATTGCCAGCTGTTCACAGGTAAGGGCATGCCATCTGCAATTATCTATTTAATACCACACGAAGAGTGTTCTTTGTTGGCTGCCTCCCACCTGCTGCTCACACACCCATCGCCTTTTATGGGAACACCTCGTTTACGGTATGTCAGCATTACAGTATAGTTCTATAGTAATGTGCCACACACTGCCCAGTGCATGGCGCATCCGCTCTGTGGACTTGTGACACCGCGATACTAGGAGTCACGCTTCATGACAATGGTGGTGTTTTGAACAATTTTCAATTTTTGACAATTTTTTTTTGACATAATCTTTTCGACGACGCACGCGCATGCGAGTCTTTTGGAATGTTTTCCCTCGTGCACTTGGCCGGGCTTTACACTACAAGGTCGGTGATCAGCACGTGCTCTCACACTGCTCTGCGGCAAAATGCGCGTTTCTCTGAAAAAGGTGACGTCAACCAAAACTTCCGCCGTGGGCGGGGGTATCTGCAGATTGTGCAGGGGAGATCCGGAGTTGCACACTCTTGTTTACTAGTACTGCTGCAGTGTAGTATCTATTCTTGATCTCGTTCTTCCACGACTGCATGATTGTGTGCTGGCCTTATTAGTCAGGAGATGGGTGATGAGAACGGCCGTTAGGCCTGTGTGCTCCCATAGCTCAGTCGGTTAGAGCGCCGTGCTAATAACGCGAATGAGGTTCGAGCCCTGCTGGGAGCATGTTTTTTTAATACTTCAGAACTCGAAATTCTGTGCACATGCTAGTATTGATCACGGTGGTGTACACATCCTGGTGCTCCGCATTGCCTGGCACTGTTTTGCATTGCGTGATACCAGGGAGTAGTGAAGTAGTAACTTATCTGAAACTGGTATTTTATTACTCCCTGATGATACTACTGTATTGTACTGTCGTGGACATGGATGTGAGTACCGCTTCACACAGCTGCATGGCCAGCGCCCTGGGGCCGCTAGACGTGTGACCAGATTTCCATGTCCACGACAGTAGTACATGTACTGCATTCCGAGGCATTTCACTCCGCCACCGTGGTGAGCTGTTTGGGGATGTAGGTGCTGAGTGGAGTGCTACAGTAGCTGTTGGTAGTGTACCACTGATTGCTATGCCAGTCTGTGCAGGCGTCGTCTTTCATTTTGCTATATTGTTCATTTTACAAGGAGCTGGTTTCTGTGACTTTTTGTTTCTTGCATGTGTGTGTGCAGGACCAGCAGGTGATCATCTGGACCAAGGATGATTCTCCTGGCAGTGCATGGCAAGGAAAGGTGAGTCAGCGCTGTCGCCACCGATAGCGTTGCATGTGTGCCTTTGTCAAGTGTTTGGTATTGTCTCTTCTATCGTATAGCATGATGATCTGCATGTCCACTAGTACAATCTGTCTGTGTATGTGTGGGTGCGGGGCCGGGTGTGGGTGTGGTTGCGCGCTCCTGTGGAATGCTCATCATTACAAGGCAGCTAGAAAACTACTGCTTGCTCACAACTGAGGGGAGAAAGTGTGGATCGTGTTGGGTCCAAGTGCTAAATCCGACTTCGAAGTCGGTGCACTCGCTCTTCGACGCCAACACGCATTACTTACTCAAGGAAACAACTTCGTTCATGATGAATACTCAAGATCGATTCGACAGATCGTCTTTTTTGTGAGGCTGGAATCAATAATCATAATGAGTGGCGTGTCATCTCCCGGTGTTTATTTTACTACTCCCTGGTTTATACCTACATGATAATAGTCACAAGTTATCGTGCATCCAAACCTGAGCCAAAGTAGATTACTAGTACTACAGTTGCGCTCACTGAAATCCGATCCAAAGTGCAAAGCTGGCGCCCTCAACTAGCACGCCCTTGACTTGGCCCTGGAAGCCGTACGAATGCGGCTGGACTTACACATGTACAAGTACAGTGATGTAATCAGAACTGGTCCAGGGTGTCAGCTTTGCACTTCGGGTCGGATTTCAGTGAGCGCAACTGTAGTATGTGAAATAGATTCAGATTTTCATGTGGATTATGGATGACCCAGTTTCCATGTTCTCTCTCTCTCTCTCTCTCTCTCTCTCTCTCTCTCTCTCTCTCTCTCTCTCTCTCTCTCTCGCTCTCTCTCTCTCTCTCTCTCTCAATCTCTCACTCGTGCACTCCTAGGTAATGCACAAATTTGATGACACACCGTGGCATGTCAGCTGGTCAATCACTGGTGATGTGCTGGCTGTCTCGTCTGGCGACAATAAGGTCAGGAGAATGACAGAGATCCGTGTGTGTACATGTATCATAATGTATGTGTGTGTGCGCGTGTGTGCGTGTGTGCGTGTGTGTGTGTGTGTGTGTGTGTGTGTGTGTGATACGTTGTGTGAGTGCAATGCTTATTTAGAAAAGCGATTCTGTCAGCTTTTCTATTATTGTTGATAGACTGTGTAAGCCAGTTTAGACACGTCTTGTTTTTGCATGACTATACGTAGTGGTGGCCTGCGGAAGCGAAGGCTATAGCTTGTGTGTTTCTGAACATTCAAGTGATGCTAACGCGGATCCCGCGAATATTATATTATTATACGTGAGCAGTGAACAAGCCGAGTTTCATGCATACGTCACCTGACAGCTGCAGCCATCACTCAGCACCCACTAGATCATTATACAGTTTCATTGTAATCCAGCTTAGAATCAAGTTTTAAATCAGAGTGAAATTTCTTTGTGTCGGCCTATAAGCCCATGTGTATGTGCTTGTATCCGGGTTTGTGCACAACGTCGTGTGTTTATAACATTTATCCGCCGGTGTGTGTGCTCGTACATGTAGTGCAATACGGGTGTTCAGAATCGCCGTTAACGGCTGTACGCTGTGCCATGTGTGACAAGCGTGCACAATCCACAGAAGTGTGCATCTGCCTGCACTTTCTCTATCCACTGTATCTAGTGCTGTAACAGCAGAGTTTCGCATCACATGAACAGCATGCTTCGATTGGTTGGGGTTGCAAACAGTGCAACGTGACCACCATAGTTACTGTACCCAAAGCAGGCTTGCTGCGTACAGCCCTGTACTCTGTAGTTCACATCGCCATAGAGTGCGCGTGGTGCCTAGGGGGTTGTCTCGGCATGTGAAATTCTGCCACCACAGACCCAATGGACGTGTGTGTGTGTGCATGTGTGTGTGTGTGTGCATGGTGTGCGTGTGTGGCCGTGTATGCACATGCTGTTTGTGCTTGTTACGTACAGGTTACCCTCTGGAAGGAATCATTTGGTGCCAGTGGTTTGGTGTGGACACAGCTAAGCGAGGTTTAGGCATGCTAGCGGGTGTCTAGTGTCGGAACGATTACACGATTTTTGATTGATCTACACCGCTGTATTTATGCTGAGCCTGTGTGTGTGCGCGCATGTGTGTGTGGTGTGTGTGTGCGTGTTTCCCATGAAGAGTGCGGTGCCTGCGTGCGTGTGTGTGCAGAGTATAGTGTTTGTTTTGCTGTAATTCCGCATCTGTATGTGATGTCCGTACCTTATTCCTAGCTATTTTATGCTTTATGCTTATAGTGAACAATGCCACTCTAACAAGACAGCTGCTCTTCTCCTCTCAGTAATTCTTCACCTGACGACTGTATAAATAAGCTCCTCTCATTAGCGTTTATTTTTTTATTTCTTCAAAAATGACTGTACAAAACTATTCATGTACTTGATTTTACAGCCAGGGGCCCGGGGAAGGGAAATCGTATGGTAGAGTGCAACAAAGTTTGTGGGGTGTGAGAACCTTCCCAAGATATCACTTAGCCGGTTTTTGTGTGGAGCTGTGTCCGCTCGAAGATAATTTGAGTGTGGATTGCCTGCGGAACGTGTACAAAGGTCACGTCGAATGACCTACAGAGAGCCTCCACAACACGACCATGAAAGGACGAGATGGTGGGTGCTCTCGCGGTACTTTATGGTACTGGTCGCTGGTATGTCTGCTTTTTTTCCATTTGCCTTAGTATGTATTCAATACATACATAAAGGCAAATGACTCGGAAAAAGCAGACATACCAGTGACCAGTATGTATTGCATGAGTGAGCAGTGCTACTCATGTAAGCTCCTCGCCTTGAAACCAATGGACGCAGGAACAACAGTTAACGTTTATTTTATATTCCTTCAAACAGCAGCTAGTTACCAAAAGTTACCAAAAGCACAAAGCAGTTACCAACAGCACAGCGATGGCTGCTAAGTGCATGCATGTATTTTTGTGAAGTTTGCATGAAGCTAAAAAAAAAGCGAAACGGAAACGACATTTTGGAGATGAAACAAGTAAATTATTTTTTTAAAGAGAGATTTCATGACACACGCTACGCACCCTACAAGAGATATGGAAACATAGTGGGTGGTGGTGGGGTGTTTGGTAGGGGGGGGGGGGGGGGGCACCTCAAGGGTACGAGAACAAATGCAGACACACGCATATAGATATGGACTAAGCACACGTGTGAAGACTCAGCATATGAATCTGATCATGGCCCAAAACAGTAAAACACCCTGGAATACGGAGGCACACAAAATAGGTATGGAAACAAACAAAAAATGGATGTCAAAACGATCTCTGCAAACAGGCTGCGTCGGTGGGCTGCAATATAGAAAGTAACGAAAAAGTTGGACAGGAGCCGATTGGATGGGCCTATTAGCTGCAGGTCGTCAGGAGCTGAGCCTCCTTGATGGTTCAGGAGCTGAGCCTCCTTGATGGTTTAGGAGCTGAACCTACTTGATGGTTCTGCTGGCAGTCTTGAGCAGATTGAACTGCATCTGCAGTTCTGGATAGGACGGTGCAATGACGTCAATGCACTGGCACAGGCTCTGCATGACGCGAGGGCCGTACTTGCTGGTAATGGACTGGGTACTGTCCAGCACGGATACGGCGTAACTGAGATAGTTGAGCTTGATGTGAATATCACTGCCAAGGTCACTAGACAGCTGCTGGATGAGTGACAGTAGAATCTGCTGGCTGAGATGACACTGTCCATTTGCTGGGAAGATTGTCTCGACAGGAAGCAGCTTGCACAGGTACACCACGGTGCCAATATTTGACGCTGACAAAGCCTGGCCAGCAAAGCAAAGAGGGAACACAGAAAATGGAAAGAACATCATGCTCAGGCGGATAAAACCTCATGTTCATTGCGGAGTGCTATACGAGCATGATACGCAGCCAGAGAGATAAGAAAACCTAATGTTCATTGCGCAGTGCTACACAAGTATGATACGCAGCCAGAGAGATAAGCACCACAGAACATGCTCTGTCCCCACAGAATAACGCAGACAACATCTTAAAATTATGCGCATAATTACTAGTATTCGGGCGAAACAGGCCACTATGCGGCAAATATGCGGGATTATACGGTCATAGTGCACGAGTTATCTGCCCTTGGTACAACATTACTTCATTATGTATATAATAACACATGGTACGGAGGGCATTATGGCTGATTTATGCCCTAGTGCGTAGCCCGAGGTCGTGCACCGTAGCCCAAGGGCCGCAGGCCCGCGGGCTACGGTGCACGACCGAGGGCTACGCACTAGGGCATACAATCAGCCATAATGCACGACGCACCATGTGTTTATTATAGTTCATACATGCCAAGTGCCTAGTTGTAGACAAATTAATAAGGTAAACATGGTCAAGGGAGGAGGAAGGTTCCAATCAGCTGTCATATGAATGAAGGGTCGAACAAGATCGGAAGGAGCTTTCTCCGTGGAATGATAGAACGTTTTGTGTCAGATTTACTTGCAGTTCCAGGAATATGCCTTTGCATTTTGGTGTTAGTGTTGCCTATTGGGCGGTGCGGAAGTTAGCTGATTCGCTGCTGCTTTGGAGTTAACGTTGGATGCAAACATCCTTGACCAAATGGCACTAGTAATTAGACTAGTTTTGAGAGTACATTGTAAGTTTTCTTATTCGGAACAATGATACTTTTTCACATACATCTGAGATTGTGTTCGCATTGCTTTCAGTTTACTTGAGGTCCATATGTACACTGGACATGTAGCTAGTTACATTTGAAGTACATGTACATGTAATGTAACTGTATATTTTGTAGGAGTTCGAGATACAATCTGATCCATTCCAGATAGGTAACTTTGTGATGCATGTTCACCTGTCGACTTGTTCGTCTCAATTGACTTGAATTTAGTAATGCATTGCAATGATATGCTGTGTGCTATTGTCACGTTGTTATCAATTACTTCTCCTATGTCGACATTGCCAGTAAAATATAATTGTTTTGGATGGTACACGTAAGTAGTTTCGTTTTGTGTGGTGTGTGCGAGTGCATGTGGTGTCCTTAGGAATGGTCCCATGCGTTCTATGTGCGCTGGAGTACTGCCAGTTATGTGCCAGGTCACTGCCCAAAGGCATGGCTTGGTGCATATTTGGCAGTGCACCAGCGTACGTAGTACGCCTGGGGTCATTCCTAATGGGCATGGGTACGCCGTACCCGGGCATTATCGTCTGATAATGCCCTGGTACGGTGGTGCTCTGATTGGCCAAATGCTAGCAACGACCTGACAACAGGCACGTGACATGTATGAAAGTACAAGTAGGGTAC